GGTGTGGTAGGGGAGGGTACAGTGTCATATGCCTTTTGGGCTCTCACTGTACACCCGTATGCGTTGTTCAGTCTCAGCCATGTACAAACATATTTGTATACATTATGTAATATTGCAGAGAGATTATTTTTCCCTTCAAGGCACGACTGAATGTATTGTATTTTAAAGCATCACAGCATTATCAGGTGCAATAAATGGTTTTGGCTTTGAGTGCGTGGGTTGTGCACAGTTAAACTATAAACATTTGGGATGTTCTGAACCTAGACTAAAGAAATAAGCAAAATACAACAGAATAGCTGAGGAATAAAACTCTGGCTGCAGTCTCATCCCCAATGACTCTTAAACTAACCCTGTTAGGCTGATTTTTACTGATGGCTCAAATAGGACCAATTAAAAGCATTTAAATGTTTAAATTCATTTAGAGTGCTTGCTGATGCAGACTGATTGCTTCTGCAAAGGTGTGTCTTTGATGGAATAGTTCACCTAAAATGTGTTGGAAATGTACTCATCCTCAGGTCATCCAAGATGTAGATGAGTGCATTTCTTTATCAGAATAGATTTGGAGATATTTAGCAGTAAATCTCTGGTTTCTCTGTAGTCAATGAGTGCCGTCAGAATGAGAGTCCAAACAGCTGATAAAAACATCACAATAATCCACAAGTAATCCACACGACTCCAGTCCATTAAAACATTGTTATTCGAAAAGCTGCAGGTTTGTAATAAACAAATCCATCATTAAGGAGTTATAAATTTAAAGCATAGCTTCTGGACAAAATTCAAGCATTTTTTATTTTTATTTATTTATTTATTTATTTTTATTATTATTATTTTATTTATTTTTTTGTATTAGTCTTAATTGATGGACTGGATTACTTGTGGATTGCTGTGATCTTTGTATCGCTGTTTGGTCTCTCATTCTGACGGCACCCATTTATTGCAGATGATTCATTGGTGAGCAAGTGATGAAATGCTACATTTCTCCAAATTTGTTTGATGAAGAAAAAAAACTCATCTACATGTTGGATGGCCTGAGGGTGAGTACATTCTTAGAACATTTCCATTTTTCTGTAAACTGTTTTTTTTATTTTTTTTTATAAATAGTTCAGTGAATAACATTGTTGATAAGAAAGTACAAAATTAAACCAAATATTAAAACATTGAATGCATTAATGTACACATTTATCAACATTTAACAAAAACAAGTGAAATCTGCCCTTGCTGGGAAAACCTGATCTCCTAAAACACCAATAAGAGTACACTATTGTAATACTGTGAATTCTATATTTATTTGAGTGATTCATCATCAATGTTATAGTGTGTTGTTGTATTGGATTATTTGTAACAATCATATTCTTTCTGGGTGTGATTTTTTTCTAGACATGTTTGTCATTTTTGTTATATTTTCATCAACAGAATGTTTTTATTCAAATCATTTAATTTTCATTATAATTTTGATGTTAGCAACCCTTTATTCTGTAGTAATTCTGTGACAAGATTACCGCAACTACTGTATGTCAAGATCCAAAAAGGATCACGTCAAGATCCAAAAAAAGCATGAGAAAAATAGTCCATATGACTCATGCACTATATCACATGTCTTCTGAAATCATAATCTTCACCTCCACTACCAGTCTTAAATCAAATAAGGTGCCCATGGCACATGTCCAAACAGTGACTGAATAATGTTGAATTTTTGTTTTTGAGTAAAATATTCCTTTCAAGATTGCAAACTGGCAGAAATAAATCAACAAAAAATCTTCAGTGTTCAATAACCTGAAAGGTACACACAAGAATGGACCTGTAGAATGGACCTGCGTTAGCCATTCTGCCCATGACGATTGAAGTTGGCCCACAAAGCAGAAATAAGGGGTTCATTTATAAATGATATGACTTTTTATTCAATTTCATGGTTGATATTGAGCAGTTAGATGGGTTGCTGGCGGCGCCTCTCCTGCTCTCTGCAGTTGCAGTGGCAGAACTCGGTTTTCTCTTTCCCATGTCACGAAAATCACCTCTGTCCACTAATCTTCAGTTTAGAGCATAGGCATTGGAAATTGGTTCTTTTGAAAGAGTATGACTTGCATTTTTAGTCTGGCCAGTGGAGGAAGAACAGACCGTTTCTTGTTCTCAGTTTCACCGTGACATTCTGTCTTTCTGATTTGTGAATCCATGTTTCAGTACAACGTGAAATTAATCGCACCGATGGTTTGTACGTTATAAAGATGTCAGAGAAATGGCTATGTGCGAAACGAAGTGTCTACAAGATGAGTTCTAACATCTGAGGATATATTTAGTCTCAGTCTTGCATAATTTCAGTATGTTTCTCTGTGCTTTTCTAAGATCAGAAGGAGAGAGAAAAATTGATTCAGAGCTACTGACAGATCAGGAATACGGGGAACACTCTACTACTGAGTAAGAAGCAATTTGCTTTAGGTATATTGACTTATTAAATATCCTTACGAGAAACAAAGTCACATTTGTGAGATAAAAATACATAATTACAGGAAATGAAATCACATTTTTGAGTAATGAATTTGTGATTGTGAGATTTAAAGTCACAATTACAAGAAATAAAACTGCATTTATGAGTAATGAAGTTGTATTGTGAGATTTAAAGTCATGATTACAAGGAATACAATTGCATTTTTGAGTGATGAAGTTACTATTGTGAGATTAAAGTCACAATTACAAGAAATAAATAGTTGTGATTGTGGGATTTAGTCACAATTACAAAACAAAAACATTTTACAAAAAAAAAAAAAAACATGTTACAAAACATTTCTGAGTAATGAAGCTGCGACTGTTAGATTTAAAGTCACAATTACAAGAAATAAAATAATGTTTTTTTTAGTAATGAAGTTACAACTGTGATATATAAAGTCACAATTACAGGAAATAAAATTACATTCATTAAGTCGTTAAGTTGCAATTCTAAGATTTAAAGTAATATTTTCTGAGAAACAAAGTCAAATTATGAGATATAGAGTCAAGTCAAAAAGTATGGTTATTAAAGGGGTGGTTGGTTCACTGTTTTTTTTTCTAGGCTTGATTGTGTTTATGCGATGCAGTCTAGCATGTGTTAATGCTTCGTTTATTATTTTTCACATAATTTACCTTTATTCCACACCGCTCTGTCCCTTCTCTGACAAACAGGCTGATCGGACCCACTTTATATTAAGTGGCCTTAACAACTATGTACTTACATTTAAATTAATAATTTGGTACAATGCACTTATTGTGTACATACATGTTTTTACATTGTACTTATATTTTTAAAATACCCGCATGTATTTACATCTGTAATTAATTTATAATAACTTACACCTTAACCCACCCTTAAACCTACCCATACCAACAAACCTGTCCCTAACCTTACCTGTTTCCCACCTCAATAGCAGCAAAAGTGTTTTGCAATACAATAATGAACACAATAAGTACATTGTACTTAATTTTTGATGTAAGTACAAAGTAGTTAAGGCCAGCAACATTACACACTAACTAACGTTAAAAAAGTGAAACCGCAATTAACCACCCCTTTGAAGGTTTAGTTCACGTCCAGAATAAAATAAAAAAATAAAAAAATAATAAAAAAACTTTCTTTGAGACTGAAGAAAGAAAGACATGAACATATTGGATGACATAGGGATGAGTAAACTATAAGGAAATGTTTATTCTGGATGTGAACTAATCCTTTAAGTCACAATTGTGAAATATGTTGAATTCAAATTGTGAAATCTAATGTCACACAATTACACACATTGAAAGGGTAAAGTTACTCTATGAATTGAATGCTAATTCACTCTATTACACTTTTTTGCAACCCTGCTGCACTCCCGTTCTTATTTCTGTGAACTTTATGTGTCAAGAAATGACATGTAATATGTCACCACCCCTTTTTTTCTTAATCAGCAAATGCAAAAGAACACACAGTCGAGGGTGATATTCCAGAAACACTTGGTAGGTGTGACAACCTCAAAAACAAATTGTTTCAAGTCAGTGAGTTGTAGCCTTAAAGTCCGACTGAAGTGCCTTGAAATGCATTATTCAATGTGTTGATGTAACTTCTACTGAAACAGGATTTTTTTTTTTTTGCCACAGCCTGGCAAAGCAGCATCTGACAGCTTATGACAGCCAGAGTTTTATAAAAATAAAAAAAAAAGTCCAATAGATTCCCCTTTCCGATTTAATATAGAGTTGTTTGTACTAGGGGGAAAAAAACAGTTTGAACAGTTTGAAAAGTGTGTAATATATGCTAGTGCATGGCACCGGTCTTCTCTCCACTGATTATAATGCCAAGGATGTCAAACCGTTTGTGATGTTTGATCACCTCCATTGCACTTTAATAAAATACTGCATTCAGTGTAGAATTCAAATAGATTAGATGCGTTTTGTGGTCCTCGCTGACTAGTGTATATGATCCACTCTGCGACAAGTGACTGATTTCAACCGCAGCTTTAGTGTCTTTTATAGTGTAAGAGGCAGATGCTTCAGATCCTAAAGAGCATTTGATTGGTCAGAAAATATGATCTGATCTTATAAGAATCTGCAGTGCAGATTGATGCCATAAGAATTGTTGATCCATATTGAAGGAAGTGAGAGACTGTAAGTTTTGAATGCTTATATTTTGTAATGGATTTTATCAATGTTTTGGAGTTCACTAGTTTATAGATATCATTAAGCCTAACAAGAAAAAAACATTTTGATTTGATTTCAAACTTGATTTCATAAGGACAGTAAGGTGCTGCAAAAAACCATTGATGAACCTTTATTTTAAGCATTAGTGTTAGTTCACCTTAGCATAAATGAAAGTCCAAATGGCTCACTAATCATTTTCCAAGTGCTTTGATTTTTGGTGAAAAATTAGCTCATATTTAAGCAATTTCAACATTTAAGTCAAAGAGGATGCCAATGATCTCCTGACTGTCCAGCACATCACACTCCAGTCCAGTAAGTGGCAGCACCTACAACTTGGAGTGCTTTATTAATATGATAGTTCACCTAAAATGAAATTTCTGTAATCATTTACTCATCACCATGTCGTTTCAACCCTGCTTTCTTCTTTGGAGCACAAAGATCTTTTAAAGGGGTCATTTGATGCGATTTAAATTTTTCCTTTCTCTTTGGAGTGTTACAAGCTCTTGGTGCATAAAGAAGATCTGTAAAGTTGCAAAGACTAAAGTCTCAAATCCAAAGAGATATTCTTTATAAAAGTTAAGAGTCAACCACGCCTACCTAAAACGGCTCGTTCTAACACGCCCCCACATGTCTACGTCACGATGTGAGAAGATTTGCATAACGCCGCCCAAATGTTCACGCAAAGAAAAAAGGTGCAACTTTTATTCTCCCTGTAGTATTGTTGCCGCCGCCATGTCGTGAAGGCGCTGTTTCTCGTTGTGAAAGCGAAACTACTTTGTTTGGCCTTCCAAAAGAGGATGATATCCGCTTCGTCATGCCTGGAGCTGACCCGTGCTGGTCGCTGAGGAAATACATCAATTTCGCGCTGTGGATCGCCGGATCGGCTTTCACCGTGGACGAAGTGGAGTCCAGCCCGGAGTCGTCACATGTGGTTGCCGCAAGCCCACAGACTGTAAGTACTTTTTTTATATTTAAAGAATTTACCACTGACGATTCAAATGTGAGTTTTGAGCAGTATAGAAAAGCGCTTGTTGTTTGTCATTTCTCCGATCACAAATGCAGACATGGTTTTATGTTTACGCGGCGCGATGCAACGCATAAAAAGACAGTATAAGTCATTATAATCCGTAATTATGTCCCCACTGGATGCAACAAATGCTTCGTTTATAATGGGTTTTAATGTTTTTGTCTCGTCGCTCCGGCCGGACAGGGCATCACAGTATGGTAGGGGCGTAACATTTCCATCACACGCTTGAGGTATTCGGCCAATCACAACGCACTGGATAGCTGGCCAATCAGAGCACACCTCGCTTTTCAGACCGATGAGCTTTGTAAAAATCGACGCGTTTCAGAAAGGCGGGGCATAGAGGAGAAACAATAATGTACAGTACGTGGAAAATAATGTGTTTTTTTAACCTTAAACCGCATAAACATTTCATTACACCAAATACACAAAATAATGTTCTTTTTAGCAACATCATATGACCCCTTTAAGAAATGTCTCAGTGTTTTCTTTGTCCATACAGTCAAAGTCAGCAGAAAACTGTTTGGTTAACAACATTCTTCTTAAATACCTTCAAAATACCTTCTTCTGCAAAACACAAAAGAACATGCGTCATTCAGATGTGGAGTAAATGTGTGGAGTAAATGAGTAAATGATTTTACTTTAAATTCATTTGACGTTTTTATAAATTAATACCTAATGTCAGATATCACTTGTGTCTAAATTTTATTGCCTATTGTCTATTTAACAATTATAGCTGCATTAATTATATTAATAAAAAAACATAAAACTCCAGCTACTGTTAAAGTAATATGCAGTTATGAACATGTCTAAATTTATTTATACAACCAAAGAAAGTAATTGATCAATGAATGAGCCAGCTAAAATAGGCCGTAGCAAAAGGTCAATAGTTGTAAATAGGATGTCCATTAAAATTTAACAAAACATTTAGAAGTAATCAATATGTAACCACTGGGGAAAAAAATAACCTTTGATAAAGGCCTTGCTGTGAAATGTATCCCTATGGATTATTTGAGGTTAAGGCTAATGACATTATTCATAACTTGAAAAACTTTGAGACTAAAGGATTGTTCAGTATAAAAGGACCCAAGTTTCTTCATATTTTCCAATTAAAGTGTTTCAAATGTGAAAAATCATTATTTAATCCAATACACAGTTTTTAAATAAATAATTTATGATTTTTTTTTTTTTTTTGATCAGTGAGTTTCACAGGGCCCTTTGCTGTTCTAATCCCAAGATGTCACAAATCAAAAACCTGCATGCCAGATGGTGCTTCTGCATTCTTAAAGGTGCGTAAAATCCCACAGCCCTGTAATAAACAGCAGGAATCATAAAGTCTATTTTTTCCTTTTTTTCATTCCAAAAGGTTTTGTGCATAAACAAATTAAATTTTGGGCCCCCAAAATTGTTACATTTCTTCACAATAGTTTGTCAACTATAGTCAATTATCTTGTAGATTAATATTAGTACCATACAAAATTAATCATCCCATATAATTAGACACTGATTGAGATCAGTGAATAAAGTCATGAGATTATTATTTCATCATTATTAATAGTTATCAAAACCACTTCATTACAATTTCTCTCTGCTCTTCTTGTCATTACAAATGTGCTTTACACACACAGATACAACAGCAGAGAAAAACTAACATTAAAGAGTCAAGGGTCAAGAGCCCAACTAAAGCAACCACCGATCGCCAAAATGGTGAGGCCAAACAAAACATGTTCAATACAATATAAACCTTGGTTAATTCTCAAAGCATTTTTGTAGATATATGACAGAAATAAAGTGAGTCTGGTTAGTAATGAGTGAAGCTGGTAATGCTGTTTGTGGAGTTGTGTAATCCTCCTCTGCTGTTTTATTTTGGTTAATTTCATCTAAGGCTGTGACTGGAAGTCAGTTGTAGTTTTGTTTCTTGTTCTTTGAGTTTTGTACTGGCACCCAGCATGCATTGCGGCATGGTTTTTTTAAAATTAATAATAGTCACCATTGTTGAGATTCATGTGCTGATTCTTGATGTCTGTGTGTCTAAACAGTGCTGTAGCTCTAAAGGTTTTGTGCATAAAATGTTTTTAAATTTCTTCACAATAGCTTGTCAACATATCTTGTGGAGTCATATTAGTACCATAAATTAAAAAAAGTAAAAAATCAACCCATATAATTAGACACTAATTGAGATCAGTGATTCAGATCATCAATTGATGATTTTACTACCATTAGTAGCTATCAAAACCACTTCATTACAATTTCTCTCTGCTCTTCTTGTCATTACAAATGTGCTTTACACACACAGATACAACAGCAGAGAAAAACTAACATTAAAGAGTCAAGGGTCAAGAGCCCAACTAAAGCAACCACCGATCGCCAAAATGGTGAGGCCAAACAAAACATGTTCAATACAATATAAACCTTGGTTAATTCTCAAAGCATTTTTGTAGATATATGACAGAAATAAAGTGAGTCTGGTTAGTAATGAGTGAAGCTGGTAATGCTGTTTGTGGAGTTGTGTAATCCTCCTCTGCTGTTTTATTTTGGTTAATTTCATCTAAGGCTGTGACTGGAAGTCAGTTGTAGTTTTGTTTCTTGTTCTTTCCTTCAGTGATTCTGCTTGTTAACAGCAGCTGTTCATCAGTGTCTGAATTCACTCATTTGTTTTCAATCACTCGGTCTAGTGGACTATATAGTGAACTAATGTAGGGAATAGTGAATGAGGGTGTAGGGTGTGATTTCAGACACAGTCTATGAGTGTTGACTCTGAGGCTCCTTTCTCGAAAACAAAGGTTAGATCTATTACAGTTATTCACCATATTGTAAGGAAACTTACTGTTAATCATTTAACAGGTTACTGTGGCATTTCTACAGTCTTTTACCGTTAAAATCACGATCATTTTTTTACAGTGTAACATTAGCTGCAGCAAGGGGCTATAATATTTTTGTTCAATATTTTCCTAATGACAATTTTATGATTGGTTCATAAAGGCTACTATGAACACCTTTTTTCCATTTTTATCACAGAATAAGGCAGGCAATTTTATTGATTCTATACTAACGTGATATGTTAATCAGTACTGCATTTATTACCTGGAGGTAACTTGAAAAACACACATAAACCATATATTGTCACAATCGTGTGTTTATTGTCTTCAGGTTTCATCAGTAAAAACGTTTCTGCTTTTTATTCAGCTCCGCTACAGCGATAGCCGGATGCTTTTGTCCATATTAGGCATTTCCTGTACGTCATAAGTTATTACTTCTATGAGTCTGTTTTGGACTTTCTGCGCGAGAGCTTCCTCCGGCTTCGAGTATGAATGAAACATACACTGCATGAGAGTGTTCAGTGCTCCTGATGTTCACACCTTCTCATTTTGGATACAAATAAAACGTCAGGTTATGCATAGACCATCGATACCTCTACATGAACACACCTGCCGAATAAAGTGTGGGGGATGAATTTACATTTTATTATATTTTAATATTTATTAAATATTAAAATGCAGCTAACGTAGTTCTATTCACAGAAATATAAACAAAGGTGCCTGTTCTCTTTCGTTCTTGCTATTTGATTAGGAAAAGTTTAAAGGGCATCGAGGGGTCTTGTCTTTTTTATGTTATCTGACTAAAAACTATTCATACTTTGAACTATTATTATTACAGTATTTATTTAAAAAACGTAGAGTGCCTTAAAAATAATTATTCAATAATAATAATAACAACAATAATAATAATATCAATAATATATTTCAGTTTCTAATTCCAGAGTAATTAAGAGGTGCAAAGGAACAATTCTTTAACTTTTAAACTTAAAATGGTCTTTTCTGTTCTGTGTTTCTTTTTCAAAACTGTCAGTGAACATATATGCTATGTATTTAGGTCCTAGGCCACTGAGGGATTTATAAATGAGTAAAAGTACTTTAAAATCAATCCTAAACATAACTGGAAGCCAGTGTAAGGACCTGAGGACTGGTGTGATATGCTTGAGGCTTTTGTTGGGTTGGTGGAATGACAAACTTGGGTTTGTCTTTGGCTTGTTTTGAAGAGATAATGCAGCGGCAGGCCTGGAGGCAGTGCTATATTCATTAGAATGCCATGGAAGCGCTCATGAGAGGCTACAACAGCTAGCCTGGACTAAAAGATTGCAATTCTTAGAATGGTTTCATCTGAATGGCGTCATGTTTCATTTGGCAGGAATGAAGGCAAGGCAAGGCAAGTTTATTTATATAGCACATTTCATACACAATGGTAATTCAAAGTGCTTTACATAAAAGAAAAGAAAATGATAATAAAAAAAAATAATCACAACAATAAAACAAGGAATTTAAAACTTTGAAAATAATTTACAATAGTCCACACTGCTGGTGATAAAGGCATTAACAAGTTTCTCCAACTCTTGACTGGAAACAAAACATCTAATTCTTGCAATGTTTTTTAGATGATAGTATGCAGATTTAGTTACTGCTTTGACATGACTACTGAAACTAAGGTCTGTCTCCAGAATGAAAATGAAGCAGGTAATTGAACTGCAGTTCATTCAACATGTTGAAATCTTAAAGGGGACATTGTATGGAATTTTCACTTTTTTAGTTTCTGGTGTGTCTGCCAGCTCAGAAAAGCTGAAAAGAAAACAGGCTGCCAGTTTGTTATTCGCTGTCTGAGTCTGAAACTGTGTCATAAAGCGAGCTGTTTCAATATGCAGCCAGTTTCTGCGTAAATAGTTAGCAGTTTGCATAAGACCACCTCTGAGCTATATACTGATATTTTCATTTGTCTTGTGTCAACACGCCCCATGGAAAGAGTGGTAAAAAAGGGTGTTGTTTTACACGACCACTGAAGAATTTTAACCATAGTATGTTACAGACAGTTGTGTAAAATGGGCATCCGGTGTCCCCTTTAAAGTGATAATACAAAATGTGAGAATTCTGTCATCTTTTTCTCACCCTAATGTTGCTCCAAACCTGTGTAACTGTGTTTCTTCTAAGGAACAAATAAGATTTAATTTAATTTAATTTAATTTTATTTAATTTAATTTTATTTTATTTTTTGGGTCATACAATAGAAATAATGTACGGACAAAAACACTGAAACATTGTACAAAATATTTTATTTTGTGTTCCACAGATTAAAACTACAACAGTTCACTCAAACACACAGTTCACAGTGTGTCCTTCTCCTTAGGTCTTTTGAAACCCATATGACTTTCTTTTCAGTGTTATTTTAGTGTTATTTATATATTATTGTAGTATTTATTAATTCAATTAGCTTTTAATTTTTTATGTTCAGTTTTCATTTTAATTTAAGTTTAAATTTTAGTAATGTTGTGCTTGTCATGGTCTGCCTACTGTGTTGGAAAGAGAAGCGAAGGAGCGAGGAGACGTAGGAGAATTTGTGAAGTACATTCTTTATTAATTCCTTGGAACACACAAGTAGCACAGAGGAATAGACCGGACCGGACACAAGAAAAACCAGGGCTTTAATAACTAGAACTAAATGAGGAACACCTGACATCAATTAACATAATCAACAAGGGATAAACTGGGTAATGGGGAGCACATGGGGAGCAAAACACAAGACACAGGAACACAGGGCTGACATTACCTCGCCCTCCCGGAAGGCGTGTCCACGCGCAACATAACTTCCAACGGGGAGGGGGGATGCTCTGGAAGCCTCTACGGACCGGCTTACGCGGGACGGATGGCCTCCAGGGCTGGAGCTCTACAGCTCTCCCCCCAAAAAATTCCTTGGGGGAAATGTCGGGTTCTGAGGTCCTCCGTGGGCTCAATTCGGGAACTGTGGCCCTCCCTGGGCTTGACTTGGGAACAGGAGCCCTCTCTGGGCTTAACTTGGGAACAGGAGCCCTCTCTGGGGTAAACTGGGGAACAGGAGCCCTGTCTTGGCTGAACTTGGGAACAGGAGCCTTCTCTGGGCTGGACGTGAGAAGAGGAGCCCTCTCTGGGCTTAACTTGGGAGCAGAAGCCCTCACTTGGCTGGATGTGGGAAAAGGAGCCCTCTCTGGGCTTAACTTGGGAACAGGAGCCCTCACTGGAGCAAGCTCAGGGGCTGGAGCTGACACTAGAGCGGACTCAGGGGCTGGAGCCGACACTGGCCCCGATCCAGAACAAAGAATTTAGCGCTGCGTCATCCAGCGCAGTAATAACGGCGAGCCCGCAGAATTATCGGGCGAACTTGACAAACAGGAGATCCCTGGGGGCTAGGGTGGAGAATCTCACGGCGATCTCCATGGTCACGGGGCAACGGGGGAAAAAAAGATGACTTTCAGAAAAACGGAAACAAAATGGGGAGAAGGGGTGCCGCTTACTGTTTGTAAGGTCCGGGCTTCTGTCACGGTCTGCCTACTGTGTTGGAACGAGGAGCGAAGGACTGAGGAGACGTTGGAGAATTTGTGAAGTACATTATTTATTAATCCATTGGAACACACACGTAGCACAGAGGAATAGACGTTTAAGACCAGATGCAGGACACAGGAAAAACGAGGACTTAAATAACTAGAACTAAATGAGGAACACCTGACATCAATGAACATAATCAAGAAGGGAGAAACTGTAATGGGGAGCACATGGGGAGCAAATCACAAGACACAGGAACACAGGGCTGACAGTGCGGTTGTTATTTTTATTAGTTCTTTTTTTTCTTTATATTTATATTTAGCATTATTTTTTATTGCAGTTTTAGTGTTAGTCATTTTGTACACGTAGCACAGAGGAATAGACGTTTAAGACCAGATGCAGGACACAGGAAAAACGAGGACTTAAATAACTAGAACTAAATGAGGAACACCTGACATCAATGAACATAATCAAGAAGGGAGAAACTGTAATGGGGAGCACATGGGGAGCAAATCACAAGACACAGGAACACAGGGCTGACAGTGCGGTTGTTGTTTTTATTAGTTCTTTTTTTTCTTTATATTTATATTTAGCATTATTTTTTATTGCAGTTTTAGTGTTAGTCATTTTGTACTTAAACTTATTTGTTTCAGTTATTTTCCAAGGCAACATTTCTAAACTAGGTTTTAGTTTTAGTTTAACTACATTGTTTAGTTTTTAATTAATATTAAAAATTTATTTTATTTCAGCTTTATTTAATTAATAAAAAAGACTTTAATTAGTTTTAGTTTTAGTTATCAACAACCACACCATTTATTTCTGCCGCTGAGCACAAAAGAAGAAATACTGAATAATATTATTATTCTGGTGACTCTTTTTATGTGCAGTTTTTTTTTAAGTGCAGACATTTAATAAGGACACAAATGCAGCATGAAAATATCATAAAAATATCATAAAAGTCATCCATATAATTTGTACAATATTTTCCTATAAAGTTCATGAGTAAAGCAGCAGTGTTGTAATTTGTAAAAAAAAAAAAAATTCATTCTTTTGAATCAGATCTTGATCTGGTTTCTAAAATCAGTCTGAAAGATTTGCAGGGGATTTATTATTTTTTAATGATTTTTTTTAGAACTATTCCTTCTAATTTTCACAACCAATGTGTTGTTGAATTTTGATCCACTGTAAAGAACAAGAAGGTATATAACAGTGCAACCAATTACAGACTGAATTTCTAACCCCCAGAACCTTGTTTTCATTTACGTCCAATGAAAAATGGTGTCTAGCCTGACTAAGTTCTGCTACAAGCTTTGGCAGGAAGTTAATGGTAGTTTTGAATGCCTTTTGGGTGCTTCTCATGTTGATTTCATTAAGAAATGCATCAGTTTTTCTAAGGTTACGGTCTAATCATCTTTGAAACAGTATTTCATGTTGGTCTGATTCAATACAGAGTAATAAAATCCAAGCAAGAAGCACATCTCCTTGTGGCCACTCCAATACCTCATTTTGTACAAGTCACACAAGATTAAGCCACTGCCGGCCATGCTGATTACACACCCAGTCTAATATCATGCCTGCATTTTTTTCCAGTATCCCTCTTTATGAGACAGATGAGACCATACTTTTCTATTCAGAGTCATCTGTGGAGTTTCTTGATATTAAAAGACTCGTTAACATCTATTGCTGGACTCCCGAGTGATTGTGTTATGTCCTGTGCATGACCTTTGGGATGGTACAGATTAATAAACATGGAAGACGGAGGAGAGAGTGACTAATCATGCCAGGGGTTTATTATTAGTCCAGTGCAGAAATGAGCTCTGAGCTCCTCCGGGATCCTGAAGGTCCCCCAGATGCCTAGTGACTGTTTTTAGGGGGGTAGTTTGCTGTTTCCACTGTATATTGACCCTCACATAATTGAGAACAGTATGACCATCATTCTCCATCATCTGGTCTAAAGTTATTGAAGTTTGATTAAAAGTTTGATTAAATTTCTAATCAAAAGAATAATTCATCCAAAATGAAAATTATGTCAGTATTTACTCGCCCTCATATTGTTTCAAAGCCGTAGATTGTTATTTTTGCTGTAGTACACAAAATAGTTTTTTTCATTGAGTTTCTTTCTGGTGGCAACTGGCCCTCTAATCAATAATGGAATAGTTCACCCATAAATGACAATTTGCAGAAAATGTACTCACCCTCAGACCATCCAAGATGCAGATGAGTTTGTTTCTTCATCAGAACAGATTTAGAGAAATGTAGCATTACATCACTTGCTTACCAATCCTCTGCAGTAAATCCTCTGCAGCTGATAAAAACGTCACAATAATCCACAACTATAAATCCACACCACTCCAAGTCCATGAATGAATGTCCAAGTAGAAAAATGTATGGTTGTAAGAAACAAGTCCATCATCAAAGCATGTTGTTTTATTAAAAATACTTGCCAAAATACAAGTCCATAATTCATAATAACACTTCCTCCAGTGAAAAAGTCCTCTCACATCAAAATCCACTGACATATTTGTTTATAACCGTTTTGAACTGTTTGTGCTTGTAAACAATGCTTAATCTGTGCATATTTCTCTCCTGATTCAAGACAAATAAATAAAAAAAAACTTTTAAATGATGGATTTGTCTTTTACAAACACGCAGCTTTTTACTTAAGATGTTAATTGATGGACTGGAGTGGTGTGGATTTTTGTAATGTTTTTTATCAGCTGTTTGGACTCTCATTCTGACGGCACCCATTCACTGCAGAGGATCCATTAGTAAACAAGTGGTGTAATGCTACATTTCTCCAATTCTGTTCCATTGGAGAAACAAACTCTACACCTTGGATGGCCTGAGGGTTATGGAGCTTAAAATATGACAAAACTATTTGAATTTTAATTGTGTACATTTGAATTATTGACAAGTGTCATTTAACAAAACTGAATATTATGTGGAATTTAACATCGTTTTTTTTTTACTTGAATATTGAACATTTGAAATTTAACACAACTACATTTTTTATGGCAGAGTTTTATAGACATGTATTTTCAAACAGCAGATTATTTTGTTCTGAGTTCTTAGACTGCAAATATCCAGTTTTGTTAAATGACACTTGTCAATAATTCAAATTTACACCATTTAAATTCAAATAGTTTGGTCATATTTTAAGCTCCATATTGGGTGAGTAAATATTCAGCAGATTTTAATTTTGAGGTGAACTATTTAATCAGTGTTTATAGATTAAATCAATGCTTCATGTAAAATGTCTACACATACTGTTAGACATGGTGCAAACCTGTGGTCAAATTCCAGCAGCGAGTACTGTACTGCATATGTTTGTTTAGAATTCCCTTTCTAGTCCCTCCATCAGTTCACTTCAGTATGCACAGCGGCACGCCACTGACTGGAATCACACTTTGAGTGTTTGTGAGAGAAGCACTTAGAACTTGCACAGCACAAAACTCTAATTTATACAGCATATATATATTATTAGCATATAGTTCACCATATGTTCACTATTTCACCACCATGAATGTTTTTTTAAAGAAGTCTCTTAGGCTCAAAAATACAGGAAGAACATAAATATTTTAAAATATTATTACAATTTAAAATAACTAAAATAACTTCC